CATAAATCCCCATTCAAATTAGCATCAAGTTGCCCTGCTCCTTCCTTAGTAACACTTGCTTCCACACCTACCGGAATTGAAGGATCACAAGTTTGTGCAGCTTGCACACTCTTCTTCTTCTTCTTCTTGGGGGTTGGGTCAGGGTTCTGTGTAGTTGTTCCAGCATTTTCATCTTGTGCAACAATTGGGATTGGAGTGTCTAATAAAGGTTTAGCGCATAAATCCCCATTCAAATTAGCATCAATTTGTCCTGCTCCTTCCTTAGTAACTTCCACACCTACCGGGATTGAAGGATCGCATGGTTGTGCAGCTTGCACACTCTTCTTCTTCTTCTTTTTCTGGAGGGGTGGGTTAGAGTTCTGTGCAGTTGTTTCAGGTTTTCTGTCGTGCGGAACAATTGTGATTGGTGTGTCTAATAAAGGCTTAGGGCACAAATCCCCACTCAAGTTAGCATCACTTTTCAGTGCCACTTCTTCCTTGGTAACATCGGGTCCCACACCAATCTGCATTGAAGGATCACATGGTTGTGCCTCTTGCACACTCTTCTTCTTCTTCTTCTTCACGGTTGGGTTAGGGTTTGGTGTTGTTGTTCCAGCATTCCCCTCTAGCGGCTCAATTGGGATTGGTGTGTCTAATAAAGGTTTATGGCATAAACCCCCATTCGAATTAGCATCACTTTGTCCTGCTTCCGCTTTTTCCGTAAAATCGGGTTCCACACCAATCGACAACGAAGGATCGCATGGTTGTGCTCCTTGGGCATTCTTCTTCTTCTTCTTGAGGGTTGGATTAGGGTCCTGCGTAATGGCTTCAGCTTTTTCCACGTGTTGAACAAATGGAATTACTTTATCGAGTAAGGGTTTAGGGCATACCTCAACCTGGGGCTCTTCGTAAGATTCCTCTGTTTTCTTCTTTCTCTTTTTCTTCTTCTTCGTACTTCCTTCTTCCGGTGAGGCGAGTGTTTGAAGATTCTCATCCTCTATGCATTTCTTCGTATCCAATAACTCGCTCGGGACATTGCAATGGCTATCAGCCATAGCCATGGCAACAGAGTAAGGACTCGAAAAACTGTTCACGCAAGCTAGGGGATGCGGCTCAGTTACTTTGCTAATGCTGTAATGCAACAGAGGGAAACTAGGGTTAATAGGGTTTTTGCATTTTTTTTTTTTTCAATCACCAGAAAATGGAGGAATGCTTCCTGGATTTTTATTATTTTTTAATAATTTAATTATAAAATATTAATTTGAAGATAATAAATTTAATATATTCTGTATTTATTTAACATTGTTTTTTATTATACTAATATTTCAGTTTAATGATTATATATAATTAAAATTTATAATAAATTATTTATATATATAAATATTATATTTATATTTTATAAATGTTATGTAAATAAATATTTCAAATATAT